TTTCAAAATAGAATATATGACAATATTTAAATATAATATATCCTAGACTGACAAATCATCTCCGTTCAGAATCGTTTTTCGTATACAATGATATCTATCATTGCATTCAAATCTAACCTACCCTAGTCAGAGGTCCATCCCACCACCTAATGTACAGCAGAGCGATACCCACTTTCCCGATTTTTTTAAAATAAATTAAATTAAAATAATATTCCAAGTTAAACAATTTTAAATCTAAATTATTTAAATCAATTAATTATATTTTCGAGTACATACCTACCTAATATAGTACCTAATATCTCTACATACCTTCCATATTTATTAAGGAAATAGTTATTCAATACATTATTGCATGTTCTTATTAATTTTCATTAATTTTTAACCATGGATAAAACAATTCCTGTGTTTAATAATAATATGTTTTGTTTGTCAATTAATATTATATATTCACATGTCACTATTTTTTTTAATATTTCTAACTTATTGTAAAAAAGTAATATTTTTTATCTTTTATTATAAAAAATTACTCATCAATATTAGAATTTTTAAAGAATGAAGTTGAAGCACAAATGGACAATGATGCTATTGAAGCTATCGGTAATTGAAAAAAGACTTGTAATGTTATTATAATTTTATACATTATTTTTAATTGTTGAAATTTTTTCTTAATTATAATTTTAGGTATTCTCGGTCAAATACAAAACTGTGCTTTTTTTATTGGTGTTACTCTATTAAAAGACATTCTTGGTATCATTAATATAATAAGTGTCACATTACAATCTAAAAATTCCACTTTAGGAAAATCAAAAAGCTTTATCAATGGAAGTATAAAAAGTATTGAAAAATTACATTCTGACATTGAATTTTCTACACATCACACATATGTAATTATTTGATTAACTGTAAACCTTTGTAAAATCTAAAGGTTTTTCTTAAATAAGTTTTAATTTTAACTTTATGCATGAAATACATTTCTTAGACATTCATATGTAAATGTAATAATTATTAATTAACAATACCATCAAAACAAAATTCATGTTCACAAAACTCAAAATTTAAATACGTATAACAATAATTTAAGTTACTAATATAAAAATGTATTTAATTATTAGGAAGAAAACGGATAAGAACTTAACCGAAATCTTGGAACAATTTTTACTTACAATCAACAACTGGAGAAGAAAATGAACCAAATATTACACAAAGA